ATTGCTAGATTCAGACTAACCGTGTTAATGTAACAATTATTTATTGCATTTCAGATCTATGATAATACTATTATTGGTCGATCTTTGCTGGTTGCATTTATGGGCTTATTTGTCATTATTGGTGGAGTATTTGTCTTCATATTTCATTGGATGGACCCCATTCAAGCCAAACCACTCAAGAAGATATTTTAACTACAGCTACCACTGCTTAGCTTGTGTAGGAATAGACTTACTTTTCCCAGGAATGTCACCCATTCAAGTCAAACCACTGAAGAAGATATTTTAACTACAGTTCCCATCGCTCACCTTGTGTAGGATTAGACTTTTAATGGCATCTTGATTCAGGTCTGTCATTAGTATTTGGTTAGGTCAATAATAATAATAATTTTGACCCAAAGTTGCAATTGTTCTGTTAAAATAACTATTATATGTGGTTATTAATCACGTTGGCAAGTCAAGCTAAGCCCACCTCTAAGTATAATGCTAATACAGGAAACCTATGCTGTATTTTAGTTGGGATTACATTGACTGAGAATATCAGTTGGGTTTGGTTGTAAATTGTCTTGTAATTATGCATACTGTAATTTTTGCTGAAAAGACTTATTGGGTGTTTTGTATAGAATTTATTTTCACTGATTTCTGACAAGTTGAATGTAAAATATAGGAAAAAGGGTTATTTTATTTTCACTGAACCATTCAGCAAAAACAGTGATGTAAAATCTGTAATTAGCAATAGGAATTCAGGCTGAAATATCTTTGTAAAACAGTGATGTAAAATCTGTAATTAGCAATAGGAATTCAGGCTGAAATATCTTTGTAAAACAGTGATGTAAAATCTGTAATTAGCAATAGGAATTCAGACTGAAACATCTTTGTAAAACAGTGATGTAAAATCTGTAATTAGCAATAGGAATTCAGGCTGAAATATCTTTGTAAAATTGTAAATATTTGTTCATAAATTGTTTATACACACAGCTTTTATATCGTTAGAAGACATAATTATATTTATCTTTTATCTTGTATGGGCTTACAGTCATTACTCATTTAACACCTGTTCAAAGGGAAAAACAACCGAGAGGCTATAGGTGACCCTGAAAAATGACTGAAGAACTGTTGAGTGATTCACAGACCTGAGTGTATGCTTTTGTCAAAATAAGCCCAGTTGATACGTCTTTTACAAGACACCACTCTTGACCAATTATAACTGTGATTAACTAAACATCAAAAATTGGTCCAAAATTGTTTAGAAATTAGAGAAATATTTGCATCATGATGCACACGTTTTTATTTGAACAAGCATGTATAAAACAAATGTTTAAAAAATTGGTGAATCTTTTATACCAAGTAGTAGTGGATAAGGTTATGTTTTTATAATTCTGTATATTTAATATAAATATTGATTTAAATATTTCTAATAAAGAATGTCAATGGTTTTATAGACTGTTGTGTAACCACAGCCACTTGTAATAACAAAAAATACCTTCTGATTTGATTACAATATTGTGCATGGGGGAATTATTTTCAGATTGTACCAATGTGTTATGAATAATGTAAGAAGGGCATTATCTTGATATTGCCCACTCATCACAGTATTATGACTTATATATTTATAGAAAACACCAAATTAAAGTTTTGGTTATAAAAACATCCTGGTTGGGTTCTACTTCTCATTTTTGAGGTCAACAACTTGTCATTTGATATATTCAGAATTTAATGTATATAGTGAGCAGTCAGACCTTGTCTTGTACAAAGTATATATAAATATTCATAAGTTGATTATGCAATGTAATGCAATAACTCTAATATGTAAATTTATGAACAATAAAAACAAAGCCTGCAATATGTCTTTGTTATTCAATGAATATTTTTAGCACATTTCTACAAAAATGATATGTGAATAAATTTCTTTAAAGCTTTCAAACTAGAGACGAAATATTGCAGTCATGAACTTTTGTTTGCCACAAAATGACATTGTTTCAAATCGTTTTAATATTTTTGGTACAAGGTTACAGCTAGCTCTGGACTTTCCTGTAACTGGCGATTCAATGGCTTTTATGCTCTATCATGTTATGTTTATCGATACTACGATAGTGTTTATTTCATGCCATGGCATCTTTAGGTGCTGATAGAAATTCTGAGCAGATTGCCAAAGATTAAGTAAATTTATGATTGCTCTTCCTCCATGGCACCCTCAAATATGTTTATAAAGCCTGAATAGAGGTTTAGAATACCCTACACAATATGCCCTTCCCCCCCCCCCCCATTATTCTTTGTGGGTCTGCATCAGTTTAAAAGACAAGTGTCGGATCTTTTGTATGCGTATCATGTTCTGTGAATAAAAAATAAATGCAGCACTAGAATTAGATTACCATTTTTGTAGGGAATTATATTCCATGGCTCAAACTTTAAAATGTTGAGGCACCCATTTTTTCAAAGCAAAACATTCTTTAAATACCTGAAACTGGTGAAAACTTTGCCTGACATGCAAGCGCAAAAAGGGCCCACTCTGGCAGAACACCTGTTGGGTTTGGAGCAACTCACATAACCTCATCAGGCTTGTGAAAACTTGAAGGAGTTAAGCCAGTAAAGTAGGACTTCTGTGGTCTTTCTAGAGATGCAAAACATACCCCCCCTCCCCCGGTAATGAATATTTAGATTATGTACAATAATTTAATTAGAAATCTTATCCAACAGACTCCTGAATCAAATTTAGAAGTTCCTTCTACAATACTCAAAAAAGAGGAATTGAATGATTACAATGAAAAGTTTGATTTTTTTTATTTAATGGTTCACCAAAATACAGGCAAGATATTTCAGGTTTGTTACCAACCCAACTGAGTTTATCTTTTTTTATGCAACTCCGCCCTCAATGGATAAAGGCCTGCTAGTTTGGAGTGCGCCATTATTTCAACAGGGATGGACAGGGTGACAAAGATGCACAAAATAACAGCCCCATAATTCGAATGGCTAACCAAACAAAAAAATCAGTTAGACCTAAAAATTGTATAATTTCTGGATATCTGAAAATATTAATTGAATTTCAACTTGTGTGCACATAACCTAGACATTCCTGAGATAAAAACTTTGTTAACTAGCCAGGACCTATTTCGCGCCTTTTCTTTGTGACCTTGGAAGGGGTGGGATCCGTGCCAGAGAGTTTGGAAACAAAGGAATTTGTGGGAAGAGTTTTAGCAATTTCGGTATATGTGCATGTCGGACACTTAGTAAAAAAAAAATACACTTGTACAAATTAGTACGGCTTTTCCCTTTTTGGAGGATGTGGGTGGTCCTGAAAAGGACCGTTTGGTTTGTGTATGCTGGGCATACGATTGAGTATCTAATGACCGCCACGGATTCGGCGGGCGAGGTGAACATCCTTGGGCATAATGGTGACGCGTTTAGCGTGGATTGCACACAGATTAGTGTCTTCGAATAAACCAACCATATATGCTTCAGCCGCTTCCTGTAATGCACCGATGGCAGCAGACTGGTACCTGACAGAACTGGTGAACTGTGCGGTGATTTCACGAACAAGGCGCTGGAATGGCATTTTTAGAATCAGCAGCTCTGTACTCTTCTGGTAACGGCGGATTTCACGAAGAGCGACTGTGCCTGGTCTGAAGCGATGTGGTTTACTCTTCACTTCACCAGACTTGTCACGGTGCGATTTTCGTGCAACTTTTGCAGCCAACTTCTTCCGTAAACTTTTGCTACCCTTACCACCAGTCGATTTACGAGCAGTTTGCTTGGTACGAGCCATTTTAGTATCAGACGAGACAAATTACCACTCTGCAGTAGAAGAAGCAATTTTGTATGACCCGATTTCACAACGGAACGCTTTTATACCCGTCAATCTTTGTGCTCTCATTGGACGGCTAGGGATTATTTTGCATAATTATTCAGCGCCAACACGGACAGCCAAGCTCTGGTAGGTTTAAAAAAGTATACAAAGTAGTAACAATGAAAAACTGTTATAAAAATATAATTTCGGGAAAAGAAATACATAAAGCAAAAATGCGCGAATCAATAAATTTACCAACGTGAGTTGATTTTGTATTCTTTGCTCAGAATGTCAGATATTTGTGTTTGTGACACGTAACCCAATGTTTGTTTTGCTTCTTGTCCTAACCGTTGCAGGACTGTGTGATAGCTTAAAAATAAATAGGATGCATTTTATCTGTGAAATCCCGGTAAAAATAGCCTCTTTCTCGACCGTCAATGGTAGGATGGGCAGATAACTCGGAATATATTCCGGTTAATAACTGATAAACTTGTTTAATCTAAAAGGCCTGGATGCTGAATGGACTCTGAACCCAGAGAAAGAACATTTGACCACAGTCTCTTTGAATACTCCCACCATGTTCCCGCGTATATAACCTCGTATTTGAACAATAGTAGCTCGCTGTTTTGAAAGAAGACAAAAAGATTACATAACAATGACCTAGACCATGTTGGCCCATGGAGGTATCTTTTCTATCTCCATGGTTGGACAGAACAAGAATGGGTGAATATAGTACGAAATAGGACCTCGCCATTTAAAGAACACTAACTCTGAATTTTGTGTATATTCGTTCATTTTTTAGATACGTGCCTAGGTAGGAGAATGTCTTTTAAAAAAATACCTTATTCTGACAACGGTTAGGAAATTCTATCGTTAGCGTGTTACTGCTATGACGTATTCGCTTGGGCTCGGGTTTTAAGGGACTGGTCATTAGTCCCCGTTCGGACGGAGTCCGAAAACGGGGACTTATGTTTTGCCCTGTGTGCGTCCGTCCGTGATCACCTGTATCTCGAACATGCATGGACCGATTATGTTCAAACTTCACTCATACATCACACATTATATGGGACATATGCACATGCATTTTTTTCATGATCCGATTAACGATAGCCGAATAGCGGCCATTTTAAGGCCGAAAATGCATCAAAATCGCACATTTTCACCATTCCGGACCCGGATCTCAGTTATGCATGGACGGATTTCGTTCAAATTTGGTACATACATTAAACATAATAGGACCTTGATGCACGTCTTTTTTTTTTCGGATCAAGTTCGAAATGGCCGACTGGCGGCCATTTTGTTTTAAAGAATTCAGTTCTGGATCCGTATCCGAGACATGTCTGGATTGATCAAGTTCAAACTTCACACACACAAGGTACATCATGTCACAAATAGATATGTGCATTTGTTTCATGATCCCATTAACGATAGCCAAATGGCGGCCGCTTTAAGGCCGAAAATGCATTGAAATCGCACATTTTCACCATTCCGAACCCGGATCTCAGTTATGCATGGACGGATTTCGTTCAAATTTGGTACTTACATTAAACATAATAGGACCTTGATGCACGTCATTTTTTTTTTCGGATCAAGTTCGAAATGGCCGACTGGCGGCCATTTTCTTAAAGAATTCAGTTCTGGATCCGTATCCAAGACATGTCTGGATTGATCAAGTTCAAACTTCACACACACATGGTGCATCATGTCACAAATAGATATGTGCATTTGTTTCATGATCCGCTTAACAATAGCTGAATGATGGCCATTTTAAGACCTAAAATTCCGGAACCAGATCTCAGTCATGCATGGATGGATTTTGTTCAGATTTAGTACAATGTGTTGTACATATGCAGGTGCATTTCGGTCATGATCTGCTTTGAATGTATATGTCACTCAAATATGAACGGAACGGGGACGTGTCATTGACAATGACTTGTTTTCTTTGGCCGGAGGTGCCGGGGAATCTGATTTCGCAAAAGTATGAGAAGACTTTGCCCCCCCCCCCAAAAAAAAAAACAACAAAAAAAAAAACAACAGGGTAACAGGATGACCCCTTTCACATCATCTGAAAATACAGTGACTCCCTAATCACTGATTTATATTACGTGTAGCCTCGAAGTGAGTAGTTTTCACAGTGAGTAGGACTTGGTCACAGTAACTGGTCCTTAGGTTTTGTGCGGTTGCTCTGATAGGAGTTCCTAAATAAAACCCATGCTGTGATATTATCTAGTTTCTTGCTTCGACCAGGGAACATTTAAAAAATTATAGAATGGGCTTTGCATCATGTATTCTTGTTATACTGCTTTAATGACGTACTGCTTACATCTATATTGATGTTCCAGAAGGATAGGAATTAATAATCCACAGAAATTTGTTTCAATACAGATAAGATATTATAGTGAAAAACAAATGTATAACTCATTCTCAGCAATGGAATAAAATAAATGTACATATATATATATATATATATATATATATATATATA